AGCCGAATTCACTTGATGAAGATTACGGCTGTATTTTCACCTTGATATCAACACTCTTCTAAGATTCTTCTAGGTGTGATTGAGATAGGGGCTGCCACAGATAATGCCTGCCTGCACTGTGGTCGAAATAAATCCGATTTCTTTTCACGTCATATGTTTTTTTGTCGCCGTAAGCTTTAGGCGGTCATCTCTGTGCGCCCATGTTCGATCCTGTGATCTTTCCTGACAGTGCTCCAGGAGATACACCACGCACTCAACTAAAGCAGTGTGACCCAGTGGACTGGCCCATGTATTACTTGTAACCTGTGCCCCAGTAGCTCATGGAATACAGTCTAATTGGCCGAATGCTGCGATTTGGAATACTCGATTTGCTCGCCCCAACAGTATTTCCGTAGACCAGGCAAGTGGTCATTGCCAGTTACACCCGTCACCATCGCCTCTGAGTTGTAGATGTGTCTTCTTCGATCAAACTCCCAAGATCTACATCATCCGTCGCCGAAAAGACGTTGTAGACCGCCAGTCAAACGGCAGATTATCGTCCCTTTTCGCACCGTATCGTCACCCCGTTATTCTGTCAAACGGTGACTAGGACGACAATCTGCCCCTCATCTCCAAAATCTTTCTGGACTTGTGTTCCGAACTGGAGACACAGCCTTCTAAATGTATTCTCCACCCAGTCGTGATCCGGGTCGTCTGCCTCCAATAGATGTGCCTGGAACCTCTTGATCCTGTTCGGAAAGACCTCCAGCCTCTTTATCTCAAGCCCGCTCTCTCCCTCCTTCCTTTCTGCCTTCTCACTCACGGAAACTCTCCAGGCGGCACTCAGATCGTTTCGGTAACTGGGATCAACCGCATAGTCATCCACAAAGTCACCACATCCATAGACGATCAGCTTCCCGTTGTATATCTCCACGCCCTGAAGATGGTGGCTGCTATGGCCGTGGATCAGGTCCACGCCGCATTCGTCGATCATCCAATGCGCGAGGTCAATAATTTCCTGTGCGGGATGCCAGCGATAGTTTGGCCCCCAATGCATCGACACCACTTTGAGGCCCACCTTTCCCTGCCCCTCGCTGTCATCTTTGGCCAAGAGCTGCCCTTCTATCGTCTCCCTTCCCTTGCCCGTGTATGTGATGTAGTTGAAGGTGTCCACGGCTGACCACTCGCTGGGGTGATCCGCAAAACTCCAACACTTGACCTCCCACCCCTCCGGACCCCCGAGGCGCAGTGTCGCAGGTCTGTGAGCCTCCTCCTTCGTTCGACCAGCCCCTGCAAACTGTACGCCATTCTTGACCAACGTCTCTACTGTTTCTTGCAAACCCTCTACATCCCAGTCCAGGGTATGGTTGTTTGCCAAGCTGACATAGCCTCTTCTCGCCCCACCGCCCATGCCGACCTCGGTCAAACACTGGATATTCCCAGGATGAGTGCGATAGTTGAATATTTTACTCGGCCACTTCTTCTCGCTTGTCGTCACTGCCGTTTCGAGGTTTGCAAGCACCAGATCTGACCTTCGGATCAACTCGACGCTGTTGCCCCAGGGCGCGAGGTAGTCATATGACTCGAGCTGGGGATAGCGTGGGAGAATGTGTTTGTCAATTCTCGATGCGGCCGATTCGGGGTCAGAATGTGGCGATTGGCGAGCTTTACTTGTGGGTAGCAGGGCATCGATGAGACGTCCAAGCATGACATCTCCGAGTAGAAGAAGAGTGTATGTTTTTGATGTGGTTGGCATGGTGAAACTGAAGTCTGGAGGTCTTGTGTGGGCTGTGTTTCACCTGTTGTTTACATGGCGTGTGATAAATGGCGAGATATCATGCAATTGATTCAATCAAGGCTCTATCCTTTGTAAGGGACTCTGCAAATGACAATAGGTATGGAACGGAACGCGGGAACCACATTTGCCCCCATCCCGTACTATAACAAGCCCATAGAGGAAAAGAGGTAAAAAGGTTTAAAAATTCCAGGTCGATGAGGGGTTCATCTGAATTTTTATTTCTGCTCCGGCACAGTAGCTGTTCCACACGCGATATCGATTCAACATCTGACATCTGACTCTCCCCAGACTCCCATACAATGATTGTTCTGAAGGAGCGCGACGTGCACTCTTTGCTCTCCAATATCTCGGTCCCAGAATGCCATCGCCTCCTGTCCGATTTCCACAACATCCTCCGCGCATACTCGTCGACCAAAAATGTCTCGCCCTCAGAACGAATCATTCATCAACCGGAGAGGGAATCCATCGTGACAAAAACCGGTAACACGTCGCTGTTCATGCCGTCTTCCATCACCACTTCGACGGGCATCAAGACCGTCACCATCAGCCCCAAAGGCCTCAAAGGCTGCATCAATGTCTTCACCCCGGATGGCGAACTGCTGGGCGTCTTGAACGCCGAGGAAGTCACCGCGTTTCGGACCTCGCTGGCTGTCATGATCCCTTATATCCGATGGCCCAATAGTAAGAGGAACCTCGTCATCTTTGGAGCTGGTCGACAAGCAGAGTGGCACTTGAAGCTTGCTCTGGTGCTGAGTGACGTGAAGCACGTCACTGTCGTGAACAGGAGCAGCCCTCGAAGGATGGAGCAGCTCTTCGCCGATTTGAAGCAGCAACACGCCGACCTTGTGTGTCGGGTGCTGCTGAAGACGGCCGAGGATTTCGATGCGCAGCTACGAGAATGCCTTGTGGCTTCAGATATCATTTGCTGCTGCACGCCCTCAACGACGCCGCATTTCCCATTCAGCTACCTTGACAAGAAGGCCCGGTTCATCTCCCTCATAGGATCCTACAAACCGTCCATGCACGAGGTTGATTCCGAAACGCTCTTGTCTGGGGGACGCATCTACGTAGATACCAAGGAAGGCTGCCTCGTCGAGGCTGGGGAACTAATCACGGCCAACGTCCAGGAAAATCAGCTGATTGAGATCGGGGAGTTACAGGACTCAAACTCCCTTGATATCCAAGGGAATGTCATCTTCAAGTGTGTGGGCTTGGGCATCATGGATTTGGTTATGGCAGGGAGCCTGCTTGGGATGGCCAAGGAGAAAGGCGTGGGTCTGGTGGTCGGTGACTTTTGATTCTAGACCTGACTGACGCATTCATTTCCCTCAGCGGACTGGAGGGTATCTTTCAAACACCATCTCCAAAGGCATAGTCGTTGGCCCACCGGGTGTCCCATGGACGAGACTTGTTGACAAATCTTAGATCTGTACCCAATCGAATCCTATTTTCCGGGTCATGGTTGATCGTTGAGGCATGGATCTACATTTTTGAAGTCAGTGAAAGGCAGGGGAACAAAACAAAAAGGGCATCTGTTTTACCGCATATGCGTTGTGAAACACGACATCACCAGCCTCGTATGCCGTCAACAGCCAGCGGCGATTCCACCGCTTCCCGAACTCGGCCGGACCATCGGCCAGCAGGCCTCCGCTCATCATGTTTTGGTTAAAGGCGCTCTTGGCCTCGTCGTCCGTCAACCCTGAAGCCTTCGCTTTGGTCGTAAAATCCCGTTCAATCTCGGCACCAAGAGTGTGTCCTTGTTCGAGGTATATCAAGCCGCCGCCCTGCCTGGAGACATCCCCCATGGGCACCCAAGCAGTGATTGCAGTGTCCTCGCCATATCTCAGGAAAATCTGATCGTAGTGTACTCCGATCGCTTTATTTCCCGGAGTGTTGTTCCGCAAGAGTGTCCTTCGGATCCCCAGCGTGTCATCGCCCCAGCCCGTAAGCTGCGCCACGTAATTCCGCAACGCTGGATGTTTGCAGAAATCCTCCTTGTACCAGTCCTCGGTGTGTGCTTGGAGAGCTAGATCGACAAACAACGCAGCCACTTCAGGATGCGGCCCCGTTGGGCGGCCATTGGAATCTGTGAAGCCAGCTCCAATCCCAGGGAAGTCGAGCTTGTCCTTGGTGTCGTCGAAGATGCCCTCAACAGGCTTGGTGCCAGGTTTGAGAACGCCGCACGGGGAAAGGAGCTTGAAATATTCCTCTCTCGCGGCGAGCACATCCTCTCGCGGCAACAGGCCTTTTACAAAGAGGTATCCGTCTGCGCGGAACCGTCTGCGAGCCTCCTCAATTGGAGTGTCCAGTGAAGTCGGCCGCAAATCGGCATACTGGTCGGAAGCTAAAGGTCCGTCATTGACGAAGAATTGCTCTCTGGACGTCAATTGCGACTCCGGGGATTCTGCGTGGGGCATTGTAACCAAAGTTGAAGCGATTATTTGAGCAGCTCAAACGGGTAGTGTTGACCAGGATTCTGCAAAGAGGTAAAATATCAAGGGATGGCTGGCACCAGCGAGTCAAGATATAAATCTTGACGCCGACACCAGTGCTGATTGATACCACCCGTCACTCGTGGTCAATTCCATATCGCCACCTTTGTCTCCGTGACATGCGTGATCGACATCGGAAACCTCCCAATTGGGGCGACGAAGGATGTCGAGGTTCAAGAAAGGAAATCCCCGCCCGACAAGTCTCCGAAGCGAGTTCTGGAGAGACAGGAAAAGGCAATAGATCCCGGGTCTAAATGGGCCGTGGACGTGTCATTGATGCCGATTCCCCACAGAAATCCTCCGCAAATGACCAACTTCTCCGGATTGTCTCCCTCGTCTTCCTCTCACATACAACTGACATGTCCTGTGATTTCTGTCGCAAGAAGCATATCAAATGTGCGATCATGTTTCCGTCCTTTGCGGCCCCGCACAAGTCAGTCCTATTGCTGACCTCTTTCAGGTGACAACCAGCACCCACGATGTGGGCGCTGCGTAAAGGCTGGTCAACAGTGCATCCGTAGGCCAACGCAGTATCGACGCATTTCCAAGCCACAAAAATTCGAGACACAGCAGGTTTGGGTGCCCATTCCTCCAAATGGTAAGTAGGGAGCGACAAGATCTCTGGGTGGATGCTAATATCTGCAGTTGATTTCGTAGATGAAACTCCGCTTTTAGGACATGGGAAAGCCACGAGCCACCCCTCGGAAGAGAGAGACATTCAACAGGGATCTATGCACGTGCCACAACTTGACCAGCTGTCGAATGAAGTGGTACTCACACTGAATGATCCAACGCCATTTCCGGCTGGACAAGCGCTGCGTCCTATACTGAGAACACGCAAGGACGACACACCCTTTTCCACCAAAGAATCTGCTGAGTTAATGAGATACTTCATCGACAATTGCGCTTGCTTCTTCGACTTCAGCGATGCCGACAGACATTTCGCGGACGAGGTCCCCCTCAGAGCTCGCCAGAATGCAACGTTGGCCAACGCGATGCTGGCCCTGGCTGCTCGGCATCGAAGTCGGACGGGCGAGTTTGAACATTTCGCAGCCGATCGATATTACAACGTGTGTCTTCAAACCATGATCCCAAAGCTCGGGGACAAGTCGGCGATCCAAGACGATGAGCTTCTTGCAGCCATAGTCATTCTACGACTATTGGAAGAGATGGATGGTTAGTGCGTTGCAGGCGTCTCGTTTCCACCTGACTGACTCTCGTACAGTACCAATCGTGGGATCAGACCCTCAGAAACACCTCTTCGGGACCCAGGCCCTTATCAACGCGTCTCAGGCTCGCCCTCAGCTATCAGCAACGGCATTGAGAAAGGCGTGCTATTGGGCGGCTTTTCGCCAGGAAATTTTCATGTCCATCACTACGCAAAGACCTTTCAACCTGATTCTGCCCGAGATGCAGCCGCCTTCGAGCCCTGCGGATGACTGGTCGTGGACGGTCCAGGCCACGTACCAATGTGGCAAAGTACAGGCCTTTGTCTTTGGCGAGGAATCTACAACGATGTCAAGGTATCTGCAATTAATGGAAGATATCGAGACATGGCAAAGAGATCGTCCAGCATCTTTTGACCCTGTATACCAAGGGCTGAACCGTCTGGAGCACGCTTTTCCAGATATTCGGATTCAGATGGATTGTCACGGTAAGTGTCATTGCGACGACCATCGTGGATCTCATTGTGACGATAATGTTGCAGTCATGGGTTGGCAATACATAACCATGGCACATCTGTTGCTCAGCGCACACCGTCCATTGCCCCGTGTTGGTCCATCCCATAGGCGAACAATGATGGACATGGAAGAGGTCGTCAAACGAGACGTCAGGACATTATGCGGAATAGCTCAGTCAAACCCACAAACCCCTCCGGCTAGCCTAGTGGCCTGTATGGCCGTAGCATTGTGCAAGTTCGCCTCTCCTAGCATTGGGTCCTAGACCTCTGACATCTCAACAGTCGGCGATCGCTTCGATTCCCAGCGGGAGCAGGTGCTTTTGAGAGATCTCCTGGTCCAAACAGAGCTTCGCACAGGGTGGCCAACTTCTATAGCACGGGAACAGCTCGAACGGACCTGGAATGAGGCGTGAACGACCCCGCACCCACCCGCATCACCCCATCTGGCCTACAGTTCTCATCTTGGGTAAGAGACTTTGGTCTCAATGTACGTTACTGGGATGTGCGTGAAGACCCTGTTGTTGAGCCCGGAGGCTAACCGTCTCGAAGTCGAATCCGGTTAGCGACTCCGAACGATCGGCCTTGACATGTCCGGAAGCGAGGGGCGGTCAAACTCCACATTGAAGGGTACCGTGAGAACTCTTGGACGCCGGTTTGTCCCAGGTGTATAAGAACTCTTCACTTGCTTGTCTTCACCTCGACAACTCCTCGAGACTAACAGTTTTTGTTCAGACGTACGAACTCACGCGCGCATCTTCGAGGATGTTATCAATCAAGCAAACCAAAGTCATCGAGCGTTCCCCCAGCTATGATGCTACCAGTCCCCGCCCTGCAAATCTGAGATATGTCTACCTCGTAACTGCTTTCGTATCCCTGGGAGCATTCCTCTTTGGTTATGACCAAGGTGTGATGGGAATTATAGTGGCTGATGACCGCTGGATCCATCTCATGAAGCCAGCCAATTCTTGGGTCACGGGTGCTGTCGTGTCCTTGTACGACGTGGGCTGCTTCATGGGGGCAATGAGCATCGGATATTTGGCGGACCAATGTGGTCGAGAACGAACCTTGTCGATTGCCAGCGTTGTGTTTGTCATTGGAGCCGTCATTCAGGCGGCGTCCTATGACGTCCCGACCATTACTGTTGGGCGTGTCATTCTTGGATATGGAGTTGGGGCCTGTGCGGCGGGGGTGCCCTTATATGTATCAGAGATCGCTCCGGCAGGGTTGAGGGGTCGAATCATTGGTATCGAACAGATGATCCTGTGCTTCGGTGAGCTTATCGCCTTCTGGCTCGACTATGGATTTGCATACCTGGACACACCTGACTGGTGGCGCATACCTTTGGCCATCCAGATCATCCCTGCTGTTGTTCTGGCTGTCGGATGCTGGTTCTGGGTTCCCCCAAGCCCCCGTTGGCTTGTGCAGCAAGACCGACACACCTGCGCGCGAGAGGTTCTCGCGAGGCTGCACGGAGATGAAGCCGCGGAAATTGAGATGCAGGAAATTGCCGAGAGAGTCGCATTTGAGAAGAGGGTTGCAGTTACCAGGTGGAAGGATATGTTCACTTGGCCCATTCTGCGTGTCACGCTCATTGGAACTGGCGTGCAGTTCTTCCAGCAGATAACGGGCACCAATTCTATCGTGAGACCACGACTCTTTTCCCCTAAAAGTTGCCACAACGAGAGAAAACTGACAATTTGAGCACTGCAGCTATACTATACCCCAAGCTTGTACGAGCGTGGCGGGATCAGCTCTGCCCATACACGCAACTTGGCGACAGGGGGGGTTGGGATTGTCTTGTTTGTTTTCGCATGGATCCCCATTTTTATCTTCGACAGGCTCGGACGGAAGACGTGGCTTCAAATCGGTGTGATCGGAATGATGGGTGCGATGATTGGGATCACAGGTAAGTCGCTCAAGCAATTCCAGCATGGCATGGGTCTGACGCGAACAAAGTCCTTCAGTGGCATGCAGAGAAATACCCGGGCGCGAGCGGCAATTATGCCATAGTCGTATTCCCGTACTTGTTCTATGTCTTTTTCAACATCAGCTGGGGCGTGGGGAGTTGGACATATGCCAGCGAGATCTGGCCGGTTGCGCTACGGGCCAAGGGCAACGCGTTGAGCACCATGAGCTTGTGGACGGGATGCTATATTGTCGCTCAGGCCAGTCCTCCAATTGGAGATGCCATCGGTTGGGGCTTGTATATCATCTACTCCGGGATTTGTGTGCTGGCATTCTTATTTGTCCGGTATGCCATGGTTGAAACGCGGGGGCGCACCTTGGAGGAAATGAGCCAACTTTTTGGGCTTGAAGATAAGTTCGCGGCTAGGAGGGGTATCGATTTAGCGGCAGCATCCGAGTCGAAGACTGGGAATATTGTGCATGAGCAGGTGGAGGAAGTGGGCAAGTGAGCCCAAGTCATAGGACGGCGAATGCAGCAGGGGTGGTGGACTGATTTCGAGTTGAGGTTGAATCAGAAAGATCGAGATCTCCCAAGGCTGAAAGAAATATCGATGACTGGATCTCCTGCGCATGACGTGGGGCCGTGAGGAGGATATTTTGCCCTTGCCCTTGACAGACAACTTTGGCCGAAGGTCGGGAAATTCTAACTCTCATGAGGAATCTGTTAGCATGGCGTTAGGAAGCAATTAAATCTCCTCCACGGCCATCGGAAAGCAGCATGACTTACCTTTCTTTCTCTTCAACCTAGATCATCCAGTACTGGAGTACCCTGTTGCTTGCTGAACAGCATGAACCTTCTTGTCAGTCTGGTTTCTCGAACATCACGCCTTGCAAACATGAGCAAACTCCGAACATTTTCAACCGCGAAGTCACTGCACGCACAGCCTGCATCTATACAGGCCACGCTGACCGAGAGATCTCAGGGCAAACTTAGCGAACAGAACCTCGAGAGGGCAGTCCGACAAGTCCATCATGACGGCCTTGTAATTGTCCAAAATGCTATTGACACTGGTGTTCTCCGCAAGTTGAACGAGAAGATGGTCAAGGATGCATTCGAGTTGCGGTCGAGGGGCGAGCATAGTCCCTTCAATTACAACAAAGGGAATCTGCAACAGGATGCGCCTCCTGTGAAGGAATACTTCCATCCGGAAATATTTCTGAGTAAGTGGTGAGCCCGAACCCAGTGATTGCTGGCTGATATGCGATATGTTAGATCCAATTGCCACCCAGACAACATCGGCCGTGCTTGGGCCCCGTCCCAATTTGACCTTCTGCTCTGGGAATTCAGCCATGCCCTCCACACCAGACTCTCCTGCCGAGAGACAACCTGTCCACTCAGACGCAGATTTCGCACACCCTGACCATCCCTTCGCGCTGGTGGTCAACGTGCCGCTGATTGATATGAATCCTGAGAACGGGTCGACTGAAGTTTGGCTGGGCACACATGAAGCTTTCGGGATTGAGGCGCAGGAAGGGGCACACGGCGAGCGGGCATCGGGAAGAATTCGTTCTCCGTTGCTGGCAGCAAGGTCGAAAACAAACCCACCCATTCAGCCGTCCGTTCCCAGCGGTAGCATCATCATCCGTGATCTGAGACTCTGGCATGCTGGCATGCCAAACACGACTTCAGACGTGAGAATCATGTTAGCGATGAGTATGTCACGTTTCTTTCCCTTACAGGCCCCTTCCACTAATCAATAGCAGTCCATTTTGCCCCTTGGTATCGCAATCAGATGAGGCTGGAGCTTGCTGAAGAATTACGACCACTGGTGGAGAGTGTGCGCGACCTTGACATCAAGACGGACTTTGTGGGCGAAGACGAGGCGTTGAGAAGATACCTGAACAGAGGATTCGGGAACAGCTACGACTTCGGGCAGAGTTAGACGGAGACGGCTGTGTATGCTAGAGGTCTGCGTAAACTTGATGCATCGGTTAGCAATCTTGTGGAATCAGATGAATGTAGCATGCGCGGAAGGTGGTAATTGCGCTGATCCGGGGAATCCGTCGCTGCCGTGACAAATGCTGGATCGCATTGGGGACGGCCTTGTAGAGGACGGCTCATCCAGACTAGGATGACTGTGGTATTATTATGGCCGCGTTTCGTGAGATCCTACGAGATCTCCAGGTGTCTGAGTTCGAGGGCCGCAGGCGAATCGCATGGACACCAGTGGCCGGGTGGGTTCCCAATGGCTTGGCCCCGCAGTCCCGAAGGACAGATTAGTTTGTGCTCTCCTGCAAGTATCTTGATCAACCTCAACGCACCCTCGATTAGTCGCTCGTTGTAAGTGGAATGAATTGATTGATTAGGCAAGGAAATCTATCTAGCGCGTTTTACAGTTTTGTTGTGTGCCGCGGTGGAAATTATTCGGCTAACCTTCCCAATAGGGTTAGGGCAACACTCGTGAACAAGAAAACATGGCCAAGATAGCAAGCAAAACATGTAAGTGGTCCATCCATACCCTGTCGTGTGCTCATGGCTGATTTGACACAAAGCATGGTGAGCCCTAGTACTCCTCGACCTGCGTTGGAGACTCATGAACCTGGAGTAGTAGAACATGCAGACTTCGGAAGCTGAAATGTAAGAAGGCACTCACGTCGACCGCTAGTATCTTACAGTGGTGAAAGGCGACGAAAAGCTGCCGACGTGTTCTCGGTGCGAAAGAAGCGGGCGTTGGTGTGACCGCACAGCGCCTTTAAAGATCCAACCCCAGAAGAATGTTGGCAGACGAACGAAAGGCGCAAAGGGTACCATCGAGCAATTCGACGAGCCTCGTGTGAGTCTGCAGGACGAGGAGATCGCCCACTACTTCGCACACTACCTGAAGACACTGGCTCCGTGGTATGACCTGGACGACCTTGACCAGGCCTTCAAAAGTATCGTGGGCAGCAGAGCTCAGCAGAGCTCCTTGCTGCTCAGCGCCATCATTGCATTTGCAGCTATACATAAGAGTCGGACGTCTCACGATGTGCCCAAGTTGCTGCCAGAAAAACATCATGCTCACTGCTTGCGTCTTTTGATCGGACTCACCGAAACAGCCCCAGCAATCAAGGACGGGACAGCCTTGGCTGCAACGTGTCTGCTGCGATCGTTTGAAATTCTTGCAGGTAAGCACAGGAGTTTCCAAGCTGATATTGGCTAATCGGCGTCAGAGGAGGAGGATCCTAATCGCCATCTTTTTGGGGCATTCTCATTAATACCGTCTCTGTCTTGTAGCCTGCCAGAAGAACCGCTGCTCAGGGCCGGTTTGTGGAATTATCTCCGCGAAGATATCACCTTCTCGCTCATCAACCGCTGTCCCTTAAAAATCGAGGTTGGAGCAATAGACATCGAACTGCATCGCGATGACAACTATGCAAATCAAATCACGATCCTCTTGGCCCGTGTCATCAACGCCGTTTTCGCGGGAGGTTCAGACCTTCTCGTCGGCTTACAATCAGCCGTCAGTGCTTGGAATTCGTCTATACCATTCAAGCCTTACCATGAGTCCCACCAAGACGTATTTCCCAAAATCCAGATGGTCGAGGATTGTCACGGTGAGCTGATACACTGTGGATTTTGTTCCAGACCTGACCAGATTTAGTCGCTGCAAGGCAATATTGGCATGTCGCGCAGATCCTCCTTGGTCTAAACACCGGTAATACAGGGGACTTTGAAGCACACGCCCGCACCATATGTGGGATGGCCTTTTCTGCTAACAGTGACCCTGTCGTTGTAAATTCATATGGTCCAATCTGTTATAGTGAGTCTTCTGATGAGTTTGGAATCATTGAACTGATTTTGTGTCACTCCAGGCGCACAATGGTTGTCGAGAGACGACGCTCGACGGGAATTGGTCAACCGCCTTCGGATAGCCAAAAGAGGACCGGTTGGCCCGTTCAACACATAATCAAGAAGCTGAACCGGAGCTGGGCTGGAGAGGTAGGGGAATGACTCTGTTGATCCGATGTGGAAACCAGGCATTATGTCGGTTGCTTCATTCCACGACCATTGCTTCCGCCATAAGCAATTCCTCATCAGCGATAACCTCGTCGAAGTCATCGACACCACCAACATGACCATTGGTACCGTTCTGCGCTGGGGCCCCATTCGCTTCGCTGCACATATAATCGTGCATTGTTGCATCTTCTCTGCCCATGTCACCTTCGCCTCGCTTCGCCTGTTGCTCTTTCTGGAAATTTTCCAGGTCCTTCAGGTCCCAGCTATCTTTACCTTTAGTTGAGCCGTCAGGCAATTTCTGCCCGGGTCCCAGAGGCTGAGCTATGCTCCTTAGGAACTTCTTTGCCATGCCCACGGCGGCATCAGTGCTCAATCCGGTTTGAGCATCGGTAATCTCTTCCGCGATCCATCTAGGTAGTTGGGTACGTTTCTTCTGAAACCTACGGTCGGCCAAAACCATGATCCCATAGTCATCCTTCCCCCTCAAGACTCGCCCCAAGCACTGGGCTGCGTGCCGCATTGCGTCGAAAGACAGAAAGTCTTGTTCCTTAATTCTGTAATTCTCTCGCAGGAACTCCAGACGCGCTTTCAAGATCCTCGACTCCGTGTACTGGAAAGGTGCGCCCATACACAGCACAGTACGTCCATAGTGATGATCGAAGTCGATACCTTCAGACACTTTGCCCCGAGCGACGCAGAGCAAGATCGCGCCTTTGCCATTTTCACATGCAGTGCGGTAAGTCTCCAATGCCAGACTAGTCTCCTGTGCGTCCGGTGTTTCCACCAGAATGAGCTTGTAAGTCCAGATTTGATCCAGGATACCCATCCCCTGCCACATACTGATGATCATTTCCATGTAGAGATAAGAAGGGAAAAAGACAACGATTCCGTCGGGGGTGATTTTTGCAAATTCGTACAATAAAGCGCCGTAGTTCCGTACCACACCTGGATCCGACCGAGATTGGAAGCCGGATGTTATAGACTGTTGATCAGAGCCACGGGTGACGATCATTGGCAAGAAGGATCGCCTTGCAAGTGACATTGGGTAGGACTCCTGCGTCACGGTGCTGAAGTTGAGCATTCTCGGATACATCTCTAAGGGCGAAATAGTTCCAGAAGTAATGATGACAGAGGAAAACCGTTCGAAGACAGGCTTGATCGCGATTGATGCATCAAGGCATGCGAAGTGTAAAATGGGGTTTGGGACTGTCGCTTGCTCGGTCTCAAAGGGCTCCAGAATCAAGAGAAATCCGGTTTCGTAGGTTGCAACAAGAGTGGCAAAGGTCGCTACTTCTTGTAACGGCTGGTAGTCTTCGATGTTGGTCAATTCCAACGTGCGGACAAGGGATGTTAGTCGTTCGGCACAGAACCGCAATGGCTTGCGCTCGATGAAGGTCAGCTCTTTGAGATGTGCGAGGAATGAGGGAGCAGTTTCCTGAATGACGTATAACACTTTCATTCGGGTCTTCAGATACTCGATAAAGCGTTTGAGAAATGCCACGAAATGCTCTGCTCGACGGATATTGCCAGGAACTGCTTCCTTCAAAAGATCGTCGGGTAAGGTGGGGTTCGCCATGAAGGCATCCTCGGCTCGTGCTTCATCTGCCTCTCTCAAGCCTTCCACGAGCTTCTGATATTCATTTTGAAGCTTTTCCTCGTCGGAAGCCTTCATCTCCTCGATCTTCCGTTCCAAGTTGTTCGCTCCCCGAGTCGCTTTTCTTAGAGAGTCTTCGGTCAAATCAATGGACAATGACTCGATGCAGACGTTGTCGATATTGTGGGCTTCATCGAAGACGACTATACAATCCTTGGACAGTTCTTTTGAGACACGTTCCGCAATCTTGGGGTCGAGCAGGTAATGGTAGGAATAGATGATGACGTTGCAGAAGGGCATCATACGCCGTGCTGAGAAGTAGGGACACTGCTTATGATCTTCACCATACCTTATCAGTTCATCCAGTGTGAACACCCCTGGAGGAACCAGGTTGTGTGGTTCGAGGAGATCCAGATTATCATGATAGACGCAGATCTCGACATCCTCTCCTCGCTCTCTTTTCTCTCTTACAAAGCCGGCTGTGAGACTCCGACATCTTGCATCGACGACAGCACCGCTCTTCTCCCGCTTGACGGAAGGATGTAGGCATAGATTCTTTCTGCTGGTCAGGCCTAAACCGCGAAAGTCCTCGACAAAACCGAGTTCCTTGGCCCGATATTTCATAAGAGCTCTCAACTCAGCTAGAGCCTTCTCGATTTCCGACATGGTACGGGAGCAATAGATAAGCTTGCGATGTTCGGGATAGTGTTGCTGGTATGCCACAATAAGGGACAATAGGGAGACGGTCTTGCCAGTTCCTGAAGGCATTTCCAGAACACAGTGACCTCCCGCATCGAGGGTCCTTTTGAGATCGCACATGTACGCATATTGTTCTGGATAGATTCGAGGGTAGGGGAAGAGAACAGGCAGATCGCTATCAGCTGTTAGACACGCCATATCAAGGGAAGATAGAGGTGACGATACTCGATGAAGAATTTCATGTTGAGACCATGACCTGGACTGGCCACCACCTTTTGGCGTCCGTTTCGGCTGAGAGATTCTGTTGCGCGATCAATTCAATAGCGACATGTCATGAGCTCGATACCCTCAGAGCAAGCTGAGTTGAGCAGGTGAGCAACAGGCGAGCAACAGGTGCGGCGATGGTTGAGATTTAGATCTACTTGTCTAGTAAGGCTGCAGGTTCACCACTGTTTGATGTGGGCACGCGTCGCAGGCACAGCCAGGCGGCAAGCAAATGTCCCGGCTGGGCGATCTCATGAGCGACGTCATTATCAATCTTCGAATTCGGAAACTTTTTGTCACCTTTCCCACCCCACGAGGCTGCCTGCAAGTCTACGGATAATCGTGTGCTTCATCCCCTCAAACACCACAAGTCCCAGGAGGACGACCACGGCGGCATGAGCAAGAATTTCAAGTCACAGGCCTCCGCCTCGAGTGCTCGTGCCGCTTCTGCTGCCTTTGGGTCGTCCTCGACCCCGGCCTTCGGCTTCGGCGCTTCACCACAGCCATTCCAGACTGCGCCTTCTTCGCTATCTTACATTGCCGAACAACCAGATCTCAGCATTGTCTCCAACCCGAATCTGGTTGTGTGCCTCCGAAATCTTGGCAAAAAGGACAGCACTACAAAGACGAAAGCCCTTGAGGAGTTACAGGACTATGTAAACTCGTTGACCTCGAGTAACAGCATTGATTCTGGCCTCCCGGAAGCATGGGTAGGTCTTTTCGTTTCATACTTTTGACCGGGAACTGAGTCGCTGTCTGCAAAGGTCACCCTATATCCACGTACTTCCATCGACAATGCACGCAGAGTACGCCAACTTGCACATGCCCTGCAAGGCTCGATTACTGCTCTCACCGGCAAACGAATCGCACCTCATCTACCAAAGGTGATAGGGGCATGGCTTTCTGGCTGCTATGATAATGACAGGTTGGTGGCACGAACTGCCCAGGAATCGGTGGCGGCTGTTTTTGCGACAGAGGATAAGAGACGGGCTCTATGGAAAGTGTACAGGAATGCCCTTTTACAGTACGCCAACGATGCCATCTTGGTCCAGACACCCCAAACCTTGAGTGATGAACGGTCGACCACGCCAGATGATTCGGAAGCAAAGTTTGTTCGAGTTGCTGGAAATGCCATGCAGATGCTCAGCCAAACTATCAAGGTCAACTTCGTCCCAGAGTCGGACACCAGCAAGCCTGAAATTCCCGAGAGTCTCGGGAAGATTGTGGTAGACAAACGACTTTGGGAATATTCGTCGCACGAGGATCCCAATCTTCGAAGAGCAGTTTGTGGCCTCGCCAGCATCTGCGCGGATGTGATCTCTGAGCAATTGGACTGGAAAGTCCTGAGTGCTTGCTTCATTGGCAAAGCCTTGCACCGCAGCCAGCTGGGATCATCCCATCAACTGTTAGAAGCGCTTCTGACTCTTACCTCAGTTCGGCCAGAGGTGTGGACCAAGGACTACTCATCGAAAACAACGGTGTCGAAGAGAATTTCTCAATACCTGCGGAAAGGCTCACAACGAGGTCCGGCGGACTTCTGGGTTGACATTGCGTCGCTCCTCAGGAAAATTCCACTTCAGGCTTGGAGCGCGGTTTCCACTAATGGGAGTGTCCCCGTCAATGATGCTACGACATTGCTTGAGTCGTTACGAATGGGAATAACTAGCAGTGAAGAACCACGCCAAAACCTTGAAACTGCTTGGCCCTCTTATGTTGATATCTCCTTCTGGACAACCCGCCTGTTAGGAGATGACGAGTCTAGAGCCTTACTACTGGAACAAAATGTCCTGCCTTTGCTCTACCAATATATTGTTCAAGATCCTAAGCAAACTGCGTGGGATATTCCCAGAACTTTCAACGTCAAGATTACGGCTTCTATCCTCGTCCAACTCATTCGATGCGACTGCCAACTCTTGTTCAAGAAGGCATGGGACCATTGCTGTGAGCAACTCACTACCAGCATGAAGCTATCTCTGCCTGGAGGCTCGAAAGACTTCGCACAGTCACAGGACAACGTGATCGCGCAGGCCCAACGCATGTTCCGCCTCAAGCCCCTTGTTGTCGGGGACAAATCTCTGTCCCCATCTGGCCTGGCGTATGTGGTGGACCTCTTTCAGGAGTCAGATAACTCTCTACTGAATGCTGCTTTGCAACTCTTGAAAGCACGAAATGGCAAACCATACGGAGCAGCCGCTGTTCTCGAAGCAGTCACATCCCCAATGGAAACAATAACGTCAAATTCGCTTGGAGAGTTCCTTGGCTCACATGCTGTCGACCTCCTCACAAGCCCGTCTGCCGAGTACTTGTCCTTGATCCTGCTGCATTTCCATCGGAATCTGAAGCAAGCATTCACGAAGTTGATGAGCGCGCAAACGGATGCCAGCATTAAAGCGCTTGCACGACTTCTAAGTCAATCTTCTGAGGATGATCTCGTTCAAGTTCCTGAAATCGAGCCTTTCGTCATACACCAGATATCGTCACGACTCGAGAATGGCTTTGCACAAGATATTGTAAGAAGTGTACTAATGAATTCCAAACTCGTTCCATCCAGTTTGCACAAGAATTGCTGCCAGACGATTTTGGCCCAATTGTCACCCGACGCCGATCCGGTGTCACAGCTCGCACTTCTTCGGTTCCTGCTCAATATATTCAGCGATCAGCGGTCGACTCATTCTCTTTTCGTCACCGGTATAGAAAGCGTTATCGTCACGAAGCTACTCGTTCTCTCTGATTCTGACAACGCGGAAATAGCAGACCTAGCGACCTCGCTCATAACAAAAGTCAAAACATTGCCTACAGGAGCATCGTCTACGGTAGCTTCTTCCGCTGCTGTCATAGCAGACCAACTATCTGGGAAGGGTATCCCTCTTTCCATCCTCTTGCTCATTGATCTCGCGAAAGACACCCTCAAAGCTGCACAACCGCACGAACATAGCGTGATTGCCACCCTCTTCCCGTCTTCCGGTCAGTGGAGTGCTGCTCTCGAAGGTCATATGCACAATCCACCACCTCTTCCACTCTCAATCACAACCCCTCTTCACGGACTAGTTTTCATGATTCAGCCTGCGGAAGCTGTCACGCACAAGAAGCCATTCGAAGACCCCGACCAATTCTCTTTGTTATTTCGGCTTGTTCTCTATGTGACAAAGATACTACTCGACACCGAATTGATGACCCACCAATCAGAGGAGCAACTCCAAACGCTGTGCACTTATTATCCCCTAGCTCTACAATTCGTCAATCAGAAGTTGACATTTGAGGCTGCAAGTGATCTCTGGCAAAATACGACCGACGACATCACGGAAGAGGCGGTCGAATTACTTGCACAAGGTAATTCTATGATTCAGAAGTGGGTTCAAGACGATAGGATGCTTAAAATATGGACTGAGGAGGTCCGTTCCATAAAGCTCTTAGACCCGCGGGCTTTCTATTACAGCTTGACCTTCACCGATGTCGTATCGCGTTACATTGACGAACACGGCCTTGCATCGATAACGTCCATGCTCAAAGAGGAAATGAAGGACATGTACCGACTAGAAGAGGTTGCGCGGTCAGCTAGTCTGATTTGCACCTTTCGGGACCATCTTATCAACTCACAAGAAGGCCGTAAACTACTCAATGAGCTGGTTGCCACCGGAACCGACTTAACCCCCTCTGATACAGGCGGCAAGGGTTTACAGGCACTCATTTTGCTAGACCTTCTCCTAGATGGACAATCTGGACCGCTAGAGACAATTCCTAATCAGCGGCAGATCTTCTTGATGCAAACACTTGAACGTGTAGCGGGCGACGCTTCCGCTGGACTGGCTTGTCAAACAATGGCCATGAAACTTCTCGAGCCAATTGTTGCAGCCACCAAAGATATCTATGGCGAGCACTGGGAACGCGTTCTGCAAAGCCTGGGTGCCTTGTGGCGAACTGGCAGTGACTTGAACAACGATCTCGCTCTGCTGCATGCATCACTGCGGGTATATGGACGTTTAAGAGATCTAACCACTGCTGAGGATGCGAACGAAGACTTGGTTGAAGCCTGGAAAGTCTCACACCCGGCTCTAGAAGATGGACTGTTGCATTGTTTAAACAGCTTCAATAAACCAAGCAATGAGGTCAACCAGCCGCGTCAGATTACAGCTGAACTACTTCGAAGGCAACTTTCACAGGTCAATGTGCGGCCTGATGCACATCTATACGAGCTCGTGTCGTCCCCAGAGGCTCCAGTCCGAAGAGCTGCGTATGACCTTCTGCACCGGTCCATCCCCTACGAACAGCAACAAATTTCACTAGATATTGCCCTCGAATCAAAAGTTTTTCACCTCCCATCGGAACTCTTGAGTGTGCTATTAGATACGCCACGAACGCCGAGCCCAGGAGTCGCAGCCTCGCTTCAGAGTTATTTGCTTTCGTGGCACTTACTCTTTGATCACTTTCCAAGGGCGTCGTACAAGCTCCGGGCGTACTACAGTACAGATATCAAGGAAAATGCCACACTCGGAGGCCTTCTAGATTTACTTTGCGATCTGTGCCGGATCACGAGCAGCCGCCCACTTGATGCTTCGAAAATCGACATCAGATCCTTTGAACTTGATAGGGACGAAACAGATGAACAAGAGCAACAGCACCTGGCTGTGCACCTCTACTACTGCTGTCTGTTATACCTTCCTGGACTCACGCGAAGCTGGTTCATTGAGCAAAAGAACCGAATCAAGTCGCCGTTGGAGAGTTGGACTCAGAGGTATTTCGCTCCAGCCCTGATATCAGCGGCGGCAGCAGCGGTCATCGATTGGATACAAAGCCAATCACAAGAGGAGACGGACGCCCCGATGACGGTCAAGACATCACTCAGTGGCTCTGAAGTGGTGGCGTCGATTGCCATAGATCCTGAATCACCGCCCATATCTTTGGCGATTTCTCTGCCTAAATCATATCCTCTGGACTCTCCGGCCGTGTCTTCCCGAACCCGAGTAGGTGTTTCGGAGAAGAACTGGCAGTCGTGGTTACGGACTTTTCAGATTATCATCTTCAGCACCGGCAGCATTATCGAAGGTCTCATTGCCTTCCGACGCAATGTTCAGGGTGCGCTGAAGGGCCAGAGTGAGTGTGCCATCTGCTACTCCATCATCGGCACAGATATGCAAACCCCGAACAAACGCTGTGGAACCTGTCGCAACACGTTTCATGGAGCCTGTCTCTTCCGATGGTTCAAAAGTTCCAATAGCTCGAGTTGTCCTCTGTGTCGAAACAATTTCAACTACGCCTAAATGGCAGATATAGGGGATGTTGTCAGCACAAAGAGCAGCATGCAGACATTGGTGACTTGGTATCTTGACTACATGAGGTCCACGGCATTTCTCATGTGCCAACCTTTCTTGCCCAACCTTCATGGCTTTACTTGTACAATTGCACGACTTCTACCTCTAGATGGCATGGAGCTTTCACCCACCATGTCTTGTGTAGCTCACCTTCCACCACACAAGCTTCGTGCAAAGGTCTGAACTGGAGCCCCTGTTAGGTGGTTAACGTGAGGATGGACGAGATTCCAAAAGCTTCCTCTCGTCTTGAGTTGAGTCAATGAACTTGTATACCTAAAGAAACGATTCCTTTGTAAAAACTTTGGTCAGGCTTACCACAAGCACTGACATACCATAAAGTAACCGGCTGCAAGTGCCATTCTTTGGCCTCTGTGCCTCTATAGCTTTTCAATTACCAAGAACCATCGTAGCATTCAAATTCCCGAGTTGAGTTGAAGAAATCGGCAAAACTACCAGTTACGGTGTGTCTACATAAAACCGCGCATTCTCTCAGATTGTTTTGCCTGTAGTTTTTTCGGCGCATTAGTACATGTTGAATGCCTGACAGCTTATTTCCTCGGCAGGTACAAGTTACTCTCTTCTAAGTTACAATTATGTCCGCGCCGGCTATCCCAAACCTCAACTCTCTTCGCAGAGGGGGTCAACGTGGCCGGGGGAGGGGTCGAGCAGATCACCACACACAGGCGGGTGTCGGGCAAGGATCAGGTCGCAACCAAATTCATCACGATGAGATTGTGCAAAACACGGATACCGACGCTGCGACCTCTCGACAAAGCGCCGTAGATGCTGGTTACCTCGAAGACCCATTCTCTGCGCTACTGCACACTGGGGGTCCTGTCTCAAGACGATTGCCACTCATGAATAGAGGTAGGTCTCTAGCTGTGAACATGGTCCATGTCCTCAATTTACCGGCTGCAGGAACTTATGTCAGGACGACGAGCATTGACCGCATCGTCGACACTTTCCTATCTTCGGCAGGAGAGGGGCGCAAGCAGATCATCTCCTTAGGAGCCGGCAGTGACACCCGATATTTTCGCTTGAGGCAGAAACGCCGGAAAGGTGACGTGGTCTACCACGAACTCGACTTCGAAGCCAACACAAGGCGAAAGATCATCCAACTGCGCAGCCCAAGCTTCGAAGCCGCGGCCAAGCAATTGGCTGAGGTGGATACGCAAGGAGCAGACGTGCAGGTTTCCCACGACGCGGCTGCGTTGGTCTCCTCTGACTACCTCGTCCATCCTCAGGACCTCCGATATCTCCCACAGAAGGAAGGATTGCTAACTGGCATGGACATCACTCTTCCCACCTTGATAATTTCAGAATGCTGTCTCGTCTACTTGCCACCTGAGGGTGCCGACGCGGTACTGAATTACTTCTCAAAGCTATTTCCGGAAACGACACCTCTAGCCATCGCTATCTATGAGCCTATCCGTCCACATGACCCGTTCGGTAAGACCATGGTAAGCAATCTGATGGGTCGAGGGATACAACTGCAGACTCTGGAGAAGTATGCTGGTCTGGAGGAGCAGAGAAGACGGCTGAGAACATTTGGGTATGGGGAAGGCTCTGGCGGAGGTGCACAGGCCGCGGACATAGACTTCATTTGGCAAAGATGGATAACACCGGAGGAAAAGGAACGCGTTGAAGGCTTGGAGTGGATGGATGAGGTGGAGGAATTCGTCCTTCTTGCCAAACACTATTGCATCTGCTGGGGTTGGAAAGCGTTTGAAGAGGAGTCCCCTTGGAAGGATTTACCCGGGCCGACGTCTTAAGTAGATGTGTTGATCACATTTCTGCTCGAGATCACTCGATTCTATGAAGTACTGATGTCATTGAATCCATAACGAATACCCAAAGCAGAGCATTTAGTCGTATGTACTCAATATACCTTGGTGTAGAGTTTCCAATTGTTGGGGCGCAAACAAGTGTCTATCACGTGCACCTCCACTTCCAAACTGCGGCCTTGGCACTTGCCTGCGCTCCTCATCAACTTACCATCCCCAATCTGAGATCGACATACCGCGATAGCGCTCATTCCACTGATGGATAGCCCTCAGGCCCTCGAAAACTACACACATATGAGACTCACTCCACAGACGCTCACTCGCGTCTGCAAGTGGCTGGAACGACTAGCCGTGGCGTAACTCGCTCCAATTTTAATCCCCGCCCCAGCAACAATCAACCAAAACAATCAGTGTTTCTGTGCCAGGAAACTTATCAACCCTGTGGGTCAACGAATTTCTGTACCTACTTGTTAGGTAGAACAAGCAGCAAAGTCAAACGGTGCCTAGGTCACTAGTTGCAACAGTTGTTTCCAACGAAGTTCCTACAACAAGTGATGCAAGATTCCCGCGACTGTTCTCGCCCCCTGAGCAAGGACTTTACTCCTCGAATCTAGACCGAGGAAAAGAGTGTCCAATAATGACTGCAGGAATCAACGAAATTGCCAGCCAACATTCCAGACAAAACGAAGTCGCATCGCACAGCAACAACCCTGTAGGCGAAATGTGCCTCTGGTTGATTTCCCCATGACGATTCGATAAGACAGATCACTCCCAGGCATTCACCTCGAGTCGGAGGATTTCTGATTCGTGCCGTGAGATTGACAATGCTCCTAAGTGGACTGGGGGAAACGCGATGTGAGGGTTGGCGCCCTGACCTTTCCCCATTCACAAAACAAACAGTCTAAATGTGGGCCTACTCCAAACTATCTGGGCCTGTCCTGTGGGCCAGCAATGCGCCAGCCTTGCATGGCTTCAGAGTGGCTCTGCCCCGGGCCAGGCCAGCGTCACGGGCAATTTGCCTTTCTGGAGCTTGATCTACATCTCATTTGCCGCATCGACATAGCTTGGACTTCTTTCTCATTGTCTACTTGTATTGTATCCTTCTTTTTGCTTTTGTGTCTGCGCTCGTCGTCGTTGGGGTCGTTGTTCGTCGTCTTTCGCTATCGCGCGCTCTGCGAGCACCCACGTTCCTTACCAAAATAACTGACCCCTAGTCACTCATTTACGAGTCCTTATCGGCGCTGGCGAAAGCTCTCGAGGTGTCGCAAGGCGATGCTCATGCGTGAATAATTATAGCAGACGATCTCGCTGAACGCGAACCAACCATGCGCAAACGGACAATTACCTCGAGCGCAAGCGCTCTACTATTTCTCATCGCTTCTCTCGTCAGCGCGAAACACAACGGAGTTCACGAACACCTCGAAGCCCTTCACAAACGGCATCGCGCAACTCGCGAGCTAGCCGCCAGGTCAACAGCTGAGGATGGAGAACAAGGGGTGGAAGTAAGATCAATTCCGGAGAGTGCAACATCTGCGATCAGTTTGGAGAAGCGACAGGCGCAATGTGCTTTTCCCACGGACGCTGGTTTGGTCCCAGTTACTCCAGGGAATAAGAATGGCGGATGGGCTATGAGCCCGGACCAGCCCTGCACCCCAGGAAGCTACTGCCCTTACGCTTGTCCTGCAGGTCAAGTGTCGGTGCAATGGGATCCGAGCGCGACATCTTACTCATACCCCAAGTCAATGGTTAGTTGCTCCTTCTGGGATGAGAGCGAATTGTGCTGACCGGACTCAGAATGGTGGCTTGTACTGCGATCAGAACGGCAACATACAGAAACCATTTCCCAACAAACCCTACTGTCAGGCCACTAGTTCCAACATCGGCGTCCAGAACAATGCAGGTGGCGTCGTAGCATTCTGCCAGACTGTGCTTCCTGGAAATGAAGCTATGCTGATTCCCACCTCCGTCACCGACTATGCAACACTCGCCGTACCCGATCCCAGCTACTGGTGTGAAACTGCAGCGCATTATTATATCAACCCGCCTGGTATCAGCACAGATCAAGCTTGCGTATGGGGTACCAATAATGATCCCTGGGGCAATTGGTCTCCGTACGTCGCCGGAGCCAACGCGGATTCCTCAGGGAACACATTCATCAAGCTCGGGTGGAATCCCATCTACCTTGAACCAACTACACCTTTCCGCAACCAAATGCCAGATTGGGGTGTCAAAATCGATTGCCCCAATGGCGGATGCACAGGTCTACCGTGCGAAATCGATCCGACTCAAAACAAGGTCAATGGAATGGTTGGTTCCTCAAGCACGGGAGCAGGAGGTGGTGCCTTTTGCGTGGTGACAGTTGCGAAGGGCTCTACCGCCAACTTTGTAGTCTTCAATGCGGGAGGTGACACCAGTGGCAGTAACAGCCATGGAGGCTCGGGCTGGTCAGCTACTACTTCGGGTGGCAACAATGCCGGACAATTCTTCCAAACTACTAGCTCCTGGCAATCACCGACAGATTTCCAATCGTCCTCATCTAGCGAAGCATCGACCTCTTCAATCGCATCTTCTACAGGCTCCTGGACTTCCCAATCGGTTGTAACGACAAGCTCTGCTCCTACGGCATCGGCTTCGACCGGACATAGCACAACCATCGGCGGCTCCTATGGACTGCCCACTCACTCTCCGTATTACTCGTTGTTCAACCACACCACCTACGCGGCTCCCACAGAAGGAGCTACTGGAGGAGCCATCGAAACCACCGTTGAAGCTACGGCAATCCCTTCAGGTCCAGCCTCGTCAACCGTCGCTCCCATCTTGCCTGCCACTGGTGGCTCCTCGACGATCAAACTCTCTCTTGCTAGCCTCTTTTCGGCCTTAGCAGTATACGCAGCCGTCATAGTATGACACCCACGCGCTCTCCAACTTTCTGTGGTTTGATCTCGCAAGGGCAAGAGAGCTCCGGGTCATTCTATGGAACCTGAACACTAGTGCAGCTGGTCTTGCAGACCTGATTCCGACCATCGACTCGGCTGGACGATCTGACCACATCTCTTCACTTCTTCCTGGAAATTTTCGACTGAAACTTTGCTGCTTTTTTGCAAGGAGAACATATTTTCATGTCCGTATCATTCTGGTAATGCCGGCAGAGGGGCGTCGCATTGG